CTTAATGCTAAGTGAAATTACAGATTCTAGAACTCTGCTGCCAATCAAGTCAGGCTTTGATAGAAGTGAGTCCTCTGTGGATTCTATTGCTGGCTGTTCACTTGAGAATTCAACAGAGAGTCGTTACAGAGCAGACATTCTGTAGAGTATCGTGTCCAAACCAAAGAAATACATTTTAAGAAACCTACAGTCAGATCAAGTATTGCTTAAATCCATTTTCAATGTAAGCATCAAGATAGAGCTCTAATGTGATAGCTAAGAACTGTGCAGTTCTCTCTGGTCTCAAGGAACCGGTACCCTGCAGCTTCCTTACCTAGGAAAGTGGTAAGTCTTGTTTTAGACACATCATCTCAATGCTTTGTGTGTTGATCTTCCAAAAAGAGGATTTTCCCTTCTCTTGTTTCAAGCCTCTAAAATTTGCATTGCTTGACCAGGTAATGTGTTCTTTTTATATCAATCTACCACAGGGTGTATATTTTATAAAGTGGCATGCGCTCAGAAATAAACTTACACTGGAGGTTAGAGGTTTTGACGCTTTGTCAATAAATGTGTGAGTTGTAATGTGTGCCGAACAATGGAGGAGGTAAAGGATTTCACCTCTCAGTGATTTGTTAAACGTGTGAGCATTCTGTGATATAACACCTTGGCTTTTCCAGAGCAGTGAAAGGCAGCAGGCATTGTCTGTTGTTTTCACTAAATGAGTAGCTGAATATTATCTGGGCCTGTGACATCTGCACATCAGACCAGTTTCTTATTCCATATTTACTTCTCTAAGTTACTCTTTACAAGGAAGGAACTTACGGTCCATTTCCTCAGGTTGATGAATTCATACACATGTTACAAATACTACATGTGAGTTTCCCTGACAGTCACTGCTCCCTCTAGAGCTGATGCTGTCGCCGGCACTGCTGTGTGCTGGCAGTGGTGTGTGGTCCCCTTTAACATGCTCCATGCCAGCAAGAGGTAGGTACTGTGACTGACACCACGTTAGAGACGAAGAACCCGAGAGAAACCGACGGTTAGTATGTTACCAAGGGCCACAGCCAGCTGTGGCCAAGCCAGGCAGGCCTGCCATTTGTGTTTCTGAAATGGTGCTCAGACTCCTGCTCTGCGTCTCCAAGAGCCTCTACACTCACTGCCGGTGGATGCCCAGCAGTCAGACAGGTACATTGATAACTAGGGTAGCTCTGCAGAAAACACCGAGCCTTTCCACTGGTCAGATGCAGGTGTTGCGCCCCCGTGGTCCATGAATTCCTGTTGAGATAACATTACGAACCTCTCGCTTTTGTTTTTGGTGCATGGTGGCATATGCATCACATGCCAGTGACATCTCGTGAGCTTGAGTTAGTGATCCATCCGTCGCTGTCCGCCCTGGGCTCAGATGGCGCTGGCGCCTGATGCTCTTCATGTGGCTTATTTCCATCATGGCTGGTGGAAGCTTTGTGGTGTGAATCTAAACCTGAAGTCTGAGTTCGTCAGTGCGTCCTTAGTACGAAGCACTGTGACGAGTGCCTCTGTCATGCCTGTGTGTGTAAGAGCTGTGTGAGGCCAGCGACCACCATGCAGGGTGGGGCCAGTCCTGCTGTCCATTCATATCCAGCACCATTTCTTCATGAGAAGTGCGGCCGTGTGGTAGCAGCCCCGCATTTCCTCTGGTACATGTGTGTTAACCCTGTGGGTGTTGCCGTTCCTTTTACCTGCAGCCTCTCGACGTCATTCCAGGTCCACTAGTGCTCTCTCCACTGCTGAATCTGTTGGGCAGTCAGGTGAACAAGTGCTAACTGCATGATCAGCTTCTCCATCCGTCCTCCCACCCCCATGTCAGCCTCTGTTGTCATCGTGTTGGCTAGCACTTGGCATGTGTGTACCTCATGTTCGCCCTCCTGTGTTTTCTTTTTTTGAGTTGTTGAATGTTTATGATTCTGTTCATAGGCTTGATGCTCGGTCGCCTGTTTGGCATTGTTTCTCTAGCATTCATATTTACATTGAAACAAAAATCAAGGAAGTACTCCTTCCTTCCTCACACCCCCTTCCCAGGAAAAGACCAGCCCTAAGTGGTGTCACTAGGCCGGCTTCCCCGTGGGGAGGGGGATTGCTACCTCCCGGCAGTCTTTTGTCTCCACAGTCCTTACTCCAGTGTTCTGTCAGGTGCTACGGTGTTAGCGTCAGCTACCAGTTCCACACACCTAGATCACAGCATACGTCATTCACACATAGGAAAATATAATACCCTGAAAGCTTTGGGAAAGCAAGGTCAGGATCCAGGCCCTGAAGGTGCAAGAGGTTAGTCTCATTGCCCGTGAACTCCAAACCTGTCTCAGCTTCACTTAACAAAACCCACTGGCCACAGGAGTAGAGAGTGAGTGTCTAAAGATGCATCCATATGCCACCATAAATTAACTGGGTCATTTTCCCACACTAACACCCCTAATGGCTCGTTTCTCAGTGGAGTCCGCATGCTCTACTAATTCACACACTGATGATGGTGCCGATGCTCACCCATTTATCCAGCGAATATTGTGCCCTTCCGTTCTTCCGAACGGAGCCAGCTGCATGTTTTCACCATCTCCTTAAGAGCTATGGCCAGGCTGAGGGCCCAGGCCTCTGTATCCATCCCTTGGAAAACCGCTTTATCATAATGTTGGAACAGTGAGAATGGACTGCAGGGTTTTGCCTGGTGATCTAGACAAGCATGTCCCCTTCAGATCCACAAGTCACAGTGTCCACTTTATCAGATGGCCGACAGTTGCTGTGTGTGGCAAAGCTGTAAGCATCTGGGAAGCACTGAGTCCTTGCTTTATTCTTAGAAAGTTTTAATTTTCTGTCTGAAAAGATCCAGTATTATCCCTGGAATAAGAGTTGCTGGCATGAAATCTACTTGTGTTTTTTTTTTTGTTTGTTTGTTTTGTTTTTTATTTTTTGTTTGTTTTTAAGACTTTATGTTTATGCTGGGTAACTTTTAAATGGCTTTAACTGAATTACTCATTTGTTCCTCATAAATCCCCTGCTATCTACCCTTTTTTAATGGAAAAAAAAGACTTGAACCAAAATTACTTACAAAACAGCATGCCCAGACCTCTCAATTCTGTTCCTGTTCACATTCTAACAAATGAGCATACGGATGACTGTCCGTGGTCTTCGTGGTTCACGGAGCCCAGCGACTCATCCCCGAAATCTGATGAGAAGATGATGTTTGCAATCATCAGCAAGTGCATTAAAAAAGGGGATAGTATGACATATGGTTTCTGTTTTTCTATTAAAAAATTTGTGACTGTGTATGAGTCTTTTGACTAGCAGTGTGTAAATTATTTTCCCTGCCTGTGGTAGTAGAAGGGTAAAATATTTTGAAAGTGATCTTTTTAACAAAAGCTAACTAAACTTCACTAATTTTGTAGACAATGTCTTATTCCCTGTCCAAATGCTTAAATATATCATTTCAAAAGAAAGCCAATTCCTTGGGCCCAGCAAGGTGGTTCAGCAAGTAAAGGCTTGCCAGCCTGAATGGGATATCTGGGACTTACACAATGGAAAAGGAGAACTAGCTCCTGCAAGTTGTCCTCTGACTTCCATATGAGTGCCATAGCACCTCCCCACATAATAGTGAATAAATTAAAATCCAATTTCAAAAGAAAGATCAATTCCTGTAGAAATAAATATTATATCTTATTCTAAATGCTGTATTGCTAAAAGTGTGACTAAGGCACAGATTTGTTTTTTCCTTGTCCAAATAGTGTTTTCTGTATAACTCTGGGAAAACATATTTTTTATCTTAACACATTTTCTTCTAAAAGTTTCCACGTATTAGAATTTTGATGACTAGACCTCTCATCCGTGGAGAGTGAGCCGTGTTGGAATGTATAACTTCCACGGGCATCCCCCTGTCGCAGTGTCGGGCTCTAGCACTTTCTCAGGAAAGCTGCTAGGCTGACTCAGTGGGTCCTGAGGAGCAGCTCTGGGATGGCAGAGAGGCGGCTCGGTGGATAAGAGCACCCAGCACCCAGTACCCATGTTCTGCAGCTCCCCAGTGCCTTTATTCCAGCTTCAAGGCATCTGGCACTCTTTTCTGTCCTCTTAGCACATGTGTGGCATACACACTCACTCACTCACTCACTCACTCACTCACTCACTCACTCACTCACACACACAAATAAATAGATAAATATAACTTTTAAAAAGAACTTTAGAATAATTATTTAAATTTCTAACATTTATCTTAAGTTTTTCTGCTTTATTTATATATAATAATATAAATAATATAATAAATAGTAAAATATACCATAAATAATAAAATAAAATATAATAAATATAATAGAAATAAATAATGTAATAAAATAACAGAATTCTTCTGCCTTATCTATTAGTTCATCATTCAGAAATCCTTCAAGGGACTCATGTGAAAGTTAAACTGATGATCTCTAAATGACTGATGTTCTTGAAAAGAAGGCATTAGATTTTTATGGTGATTATTAAATTTTAGTAAGTTGATCTTTAAATAACGACACTAGGGAAAATTTGTACCAAGATCAATAATTTATTTCAAGTTTTAACTTTTTCCATCACTTTGCCTTACATCTTATTTTCCAAACCATGAAGTGTACTTGAGCTAAACAAACTACAAGGGTACTTACCTCTAGAAGGAAAGCTGAGTAGAATATAAGATTCAACCCAGAGCCCTGCTCCCTGCTGTACGATCCCTATCTTCTGCTTAAGCCTTTTTAGTAACAAAATGTCCAAAACAGGCTCCATTTGAAAAATAAAAAAAAAAAAAAAAGAGGGGAAAGCATTTGCCTGTGGCTCCTCTGTGTTAGATGCGAGCACCTTAGCCTACCACTGGCAGGCACACCCAGTGCAGGTCGCAGCGCCCACCCGCCCCGTGCAGGTCGCAGCGGCTGGGAGTTTTCCTGTCGCTCGCTCTCTTTCGTGGGAGGAGGCAGGAACCCTTGCCGAGAACTGCGAAGCTACGCGTGGCTGACACATGTCCTGCTTTTGTTTTCACATAGATCGGTTTGGGCTGGGCCAGTCAGGAAGAATCCCTGGTTCCGTGAATGCCATGCGAGTATTGAGCACCAGCACAGACCTAGAAGCTGCCGTGGCTGATGCGCTGGTAAGAGGCACAGAAAGGATGGAGTCACAGTTGGTCAAACATAGTTTTCTGTCTTAACACAAAATTGCCCTCAAATCAGGTGACTAAGTCATCTTTTACACTCTTCAAAAGGTGTGTGAATAGGGCTGGGGTGGTGGCTCACCCGTCAAAGCACAGCAAAGGTGAGGACCAGACCCACATGGATTACCAGGCTCAGGGCTGGCCTGCTAGGTTATACGTTGGCAATCTACACGTTTGAGTGAGAGACAGAGATCAAGGAAGACCCTTGAAATCTCTCAGTCCAGCGTGCATATATGCGTGCGTGTACACACACACACACACACACACACATACACACACACTGACATGCTCACACACCACACATATATACACAGGAGAGAAGGGAAAAGGTTAGGTAAAGTTAGCTATTTTTTTCTCTCACACTCTTACAGCACACAGTGAAATCAGCCTTCCAGGAGCGAGCAGTATCAAGAACCTCACCCATGCATGCTTCTTGGCACTCAGGAAATTTTGATGACATTGGGCTTCGCACATGTCATCAAGCTCTCTCTTTTGTTTTCTGTATTCCATAGCTTCTTTTCCCACAGCATTTCCTGTTTTCCATCCTGTTGCCTCTGTTGGCTGTAGGGGCTTCGACAGCACAGTCTACACGCATCATTATAACAACGGACAGTAGAGTTTGAGACCTGAAAGTTACGTTTATGCTGTTGTGTGATTCTGAGCTAGGGGATTTCCCCCACCCCTGAAAATGGATCAATAAAGTAAATAGATTACTTGTCATGCAAGCACATGGACATGAATTTAATCCCCAGAATCCATAGATAAAGCCGTGTGTGGTGGCGGGCCTTATCATTGCTGCCCCAGAGAAATGGAGACAGGCTGATATTTTGGGCTTGCTGGCCCGCCAGCCAAGCCGAGTCCATGAGCTCAGCTATAAGTGAGATCCTGTCTCAAAAGCAAGGTAAACGGCATCTTGAGGAATGGTACCTCAGGTTAACACTCCCCCCCCCATCTCCGTTTCTCTTTCTCTGTCTCTCTCTCTCTCTTGTACATGCGCACACACATGCACACATGGACATACATGAAAATTTTCTGAAAAGTTAAGGTTTGGTCTCTAAGTATCTAAAGTCCTAGTGGAGGAATTTTCACTTACTACATTTTAGTACTGGGATGGGGGGAATGCTCATGGTTCCTTTAGTCTGTGGTACAGCAGACATTCTGTAGGATCAGCTTTGGTGAACTTGCCTCCCAGCTGGTAGGAGCAGCCTCCCACACCCGCTTCACGTGGTCAGCATTTGAAATAGGTGCTCTTCAGAATGGTCTCACAGGCGCCCCGCCCTCTGCTGCTGCGCTAAGATTTATTCTCCTTTTAGGAGAGGAGCACACATATAACTCGTTCTTACTGGGAAGTCTTACTTTCCAGTCTGAGGTTTTGAATATGGCCTGTGCCACCTGACCATGGCTTTCTGGCTGGTGCTACTGTGAATCCCACTTCCATCCCTCTGCCTTGTTTGTTCTTGCTCAGTCAGATGTTTTCTTTAATGTGTTTCTCTGAGCAAGCTGTTGGCCACCTCAGAAGGCTTTCCTGGTAGGCAGCCAGCCTGACCAACTCTATTCATCAGCCTAAGCACAGAAGGAACCTTTTCTGGCAGGTATTGGAGTGCCCAGTATTGCTCAAACCATGGTTTTAGCCTAAGAGTCAAGAGCTGGAACAGGATCCACTGAGTCTTTCTTTTTCCAAGTCAAAGCATTCTGAATCTGCCTTTTATACAGTCAGAGACCCGAGAAAGTAGTGGTCAGGGAACTGGGAAACAATGGAGCTGCAGCCTTGGCTAAGACGGATTTGCAGTTCAGGCAGATGATTTTCTTAGTTGTTTAAATCCCACATAAGGGACTGTGTACAAATTTCTAGGAGGCAAAGTGGAGCTAGAGACTCCAGCCCTTTGCTTTTACTTGAGCCTTCCTCTGAGCCCCAGTCCCAGTCTGTCTGTCCATGCTGCCCTTGCTCCTTTGTCCACTCTGTCTGGCCTCTCTGAGTGACCTGCTTCTGAAGGGGAAAGTGCCGGAATGGTAGGGAATCCTTGCCTACAGAATGGACGCCCCGGGGTAGGAACAAATAATGGATGGACAGTGACTTAGAGAGGTACCTCTGGGTGTGGGACATCTGGTCGAGAAATCTGCCCTAAGTCAGGAGCCTGGGGAGAGGGCAGGATGAGGAAATGCCATCCGGAGAGGGTCTGCTACAATCTCCCCAGACAAACCGCTTGCTGACCTGTGTTTTTGGTTTGCTAAGAGATGTTTGCTGTACACTTTTGTTGCCAGAACAATCCCCACCTGTGCTTCTGACATAATTCTCTATGCTTTTTCCCCGTCCTCCAAAACTTCCCTGCCTACAGCTGTTAGGAGACGCCAGGAGCAAGGTACCCGTGCTTTCACTTTGTTTACAACCTTGTTTTTCTGTTGCAAGTATATTTCTTTAGAATTTAGTTGAAAGCGGCACAAAATGTAGTAGCTGTAGTTAGAAATTCTGGTCTCACGTGTCTCTGGTAAGCATTCTGATTTGCTGTCTGTGATAGAGTCCGTCCCCTTTCACATGCTTCTGGTACTTTTTTGTTTTTGTTTTAATGTCACTCTCTACTCCCTCTCCTTTCTGTGTCTCATTAACTCAGTTTCTGTCTATTTTATCATAATTTCATGAATAGATCTGTCAACCACCTTTTTTCTTATTTTAGGCATCTGGCTTATGTAAGTGTAAATCATATGTTTTGTTATCTAAATCAAAGCTGTTTTCAAAGGTAAAAAGAGGACGCTATGAATAATTTTGTTGGGACAGGAGGCAGTACAGTCTTGAGTAAGCTGATTTTCAAAGTAATTAACATTATTTGAAGATTAAAACTATCTGTGTGGCTAGAGTCAGTGACTGCACTTAGGAAACATTGTATGTGCCAACCTTACCATACTGTTGTCCTGTGTATGGATTTAACACACTGTCTTATATTCAGGGTGTGAGAGAAGAAGGAATAGCCTGCTGTACTCTACTTTAAAAAGAAACCTATTGTGCTGGAAACATGGCTCAGAGTTTAAGACCTCTTCCAAATATCCTGAGTTCAATTCCCAGCAAGCACTTGGTGGCTCACAGCCATCTGTAATGGGATTTGGTGCCCTCTTCTGGCACACAGGCATACATGCAGGCAAAGAAAAAAAAAAGAAAAAGCCTATTTGCATTATAAAACTAACCAATGTTGTTGGCTAAAGTGGCTCACGCAGTATGGGACCCTTCTGCATAGACTACTTCCACCACAGACATGTCAACTGCATACTTCTTAAAAGCAAGCATGATTGTTGAAGCCAAGGGCATCCATAGCCCGCACTTAAGGTCAATGCTCTGGGCTCTGAAGAGGTGAGCATGTGCACACGTCTGCAGTGTGTCCGTTCCTCATCCTTCAGAGTTCCACTGCACTCCCCCCCCCCCCCCCCCGCGTAGTCTGGAGAGTGGGATTGTTGCCTCCCTCGAAAGGAATCCCTGAGGCAGAAAATGACAGTTTGCTCAGCAGTGATACCTGGATTGGAACCCAAGACCATCTTGCTAAAAAATCTCCCTTGCCACCAATACACATATCCACACTTTCTACAAAACAGCAGATTCTCCCACACCAAGATACTGCCACCTTGACACTTCCCTCATCTGCAGGCATAGGAGTGTGTGTGTTTCTACATGTCATTCTCACTGTTGTAGTTGTCATTAAATGACTCATGAACATTCCCCTTCCCACTTCTTCCTTACCCTGTCCCCATGGGACATTTCAGAAGAAGCCTGTGAGGAGGAGGTATGAGCCCTATGGAATGTACTCTGACGATGACGCCAACAGCGACGCCTCCAGCGTGTGCTCTGAGCGCTCGTACGGCTCCAGGAATGGTGGCATTCCTCATTATCTGCGGCAGACTGAGGACGTAGCCGAAGTTCTCAACCACTGTGCTAGTTCCAACTGGTCCGAAAGGAAAGAGGGGCTCCTGGGCCTGCAGAACTTACTGAAGAGCCAAAGAACACTGAGGTGAGGAAAAGACACTCTGCCTTGATCTACATCCTGTCCCATTAGTCTCGTCAGGGGCTTTGAGGGAGTCTGCAATTACAGAGTCCTTGCAAAGTTCTTGCTAACGATTGGAAGACATAGTGCCTGCCACACACGTGCTTGGAAACATCTAGAAAATTCTCTGCCATCTGTTAGGAGGCAGCTAAGACATTTGGTTCCTGTTAGGTGTATGTCTGTCCACTAGGTGATGTTCCTGAGGAGTCGGCACAGAAAGCAGCTTCGCATTGGTAATGCTGAGTCCACTCCAGGCTCAGGGTAAAGCGCAGTGTGTAAGCTCACACCACTCGTGTGCACAGCCTAGACGTGTGCCCAGCGAGCCTGGGACGAAATAGACACTCCCCAGCAGCAGCAGCAGCAGCAGCAGCAGCAGCAGCAGCAGCAGCAGCCGCAGCAGCCGCAGTGCAGCTTTACAGCTTCTCTCGTGCTGTCCTTTGATATCTCATGCAGTTTTTAGATAACCAAGTATTACACATACTGAAGGAATATGCATTTATATAACGTTTCATCATATCTAAGCTGCCATCGGCATGCCATTATTTTATTCACAAAATAATGAAAATAATATTATTCACAAAATAATAGAAAGACCGCTCAGTGTGGCTAGTCTGCTCCTGTAATCTCAGCACTTGCAAATCGGAAGCAGGGGGATCCCTGGTATTTTTGGGTCCGTCTGAACTGCAGGGTGAGATCCTGTCTCCACCCCTCCCCAAAATAAGAAAAAAAGGATGAGGGGATGGGGAGAGGAAGATAAATTTTGTTCACTAATCTAGCCTGTTAATTTGTTCTTGGTTTAAAGACCAATCTTAAATAGATGTGCGTGATGCGTGGACACCGTGAAATACATGGTGACAGCCTTTGAGCATTGCTACAGAGAAGGCAGTTTTTTGTTTTTTTTTAAAGAAAAAATTGTGACCCTGAATAGGTTTGCAGCTCTGGGTGGAAAACCTTTCTGGGCCCCGTGTGGTTCCTGAGCTGTTTGGGGTCCAGTCTGCCTCTGCACACCACATTCACCCTTGCTCCCGTTAACCCATTCTGTCCATGAAGCTGATAGAGGTTCTGCCGCATCCTTCTGAAGCACAGACACCCTTGTGAGTGTGCTTTGTCAGGGTTGATCTGAAGCTCTGGTCTTGTTGACTAGTCCACTTTCTGGATTCCTAGTGCTTACCAGCTACACCTGAATTGTCCGTGCAAACCTGCTAGCACTATCGTGTCTAGGTTACTGAAGGATCATTGAGGCATCTGTGTCTCAGACACATGAAGAAGGTGGATTGTCCCAGGGGGACAGGAAGGAAGAACTCTTCTTCCCAACCTTGATGTGAAAAGGGGACTTAGACGCAGGTGTGCACTGAGGCTTTTCTTGGTCTCAGTGTTAACTGTGTCTTTTACTCTTCTCAGTCCCATGGCAGAGTTCCCAGCTGAAGACGGGGCAAAAGGTGCTAAGAATGAGTCTCAGGAAGATGGTGGCCCGACAACCTGAGTTCAGTCCTTAGGCCCATGTGGCAGGAGGAGAGAACTCACTACCACAGGTTTTCCTGTGACCTTCACACACACACACACACACATACACACATACACACACAGCTTGGCAGGTGGAAAACAGACGTTGGCTGAAGTAAGGGGACTTGCCTTGCATCTGTCCCCTTCTAGGAGGCAATTAAATCTGTTTCCTCATCTTAAAATGAATTGAAGATTGTAGCTTAAATTTCATCATGAATGAGATGATTCGTTTGATATGGGCTTTGTTGTTATATAACTAAAGATTAGTTAAAGGGTTTCTAAAGCCATAACTAGTTACACTGGTGATACTACATCTTAAACTCATTTGTTTCCATTTTTTCCTCTAGTCGAGTAGAATTGAAGAGATTGTGTGAGATTTTCACCTGAATGTTTGCTGACCCTCACAGCAAGGTAACCAGGCCTATGTAAAGTCCGTCTGCATGCCTGTGCGAACTGTGTAATACACCCCGGATTGAGAGACAGCTCCCCAGTATCTTCATTAACATCTTCCTAAGTGCAGTTCTTGGGGACTTAGGTGGCTGTCAACTTCCAATTAGGTGTGCCCCAAATAAGGAGTGTCCTGAAAGTAATCAGACGGAATCTTTTATCTAGTCAGCAAGCATCTTTGTCTGTCTCCTTTTAGCCAAATAGGATGCTAGGTTCTAGGATATAATCTAGTACATTTTAGCAATGTTACAGTAGTGGGAAGATGTATATGATTACTTTGGTATCTCACATAGAATTTGTATTCATAGAATAAGATAGAAAAATGGAAGTATTTATTTATTGCCTTTATTGGAAAGCCAAGTTCAGTTATTTCCCTGATGAAATCTGGCTGTTCCCGAGAGCTTGCTGGATAGAGTTCTCCTAGGTGGTACCCTGCCTTTGGGAAGGACTGTTGAGGAGAAACCATACAAAGGGTGGAACAAAGTCCTTTCCAGAAGTAGTGCTGAAAGGGACCTCTTTACAAAAGCACCTTGATTAACAGTATTTTAAGTAAATGCTGTTGTTTAGGAAGATGCTAGTAAGGGCTGTTGATGTCATGAAGAGATGGTAACGAGGGGGCCAACGGGTAAACACGAGATAGGCGCTAGAGTATAGGAATGAATAGGAACTAAATTCATTGTGGACATGCTGGCACTAAAGTTTTGATGCTGGGAGAAAAAAAAACCTGTGGTGGTCAGAGAGTCCAGCAACTTGCTCTCTTTCTTCTTTCCTATCCTTGCTTCCTCATAGGAATTGTCCTTGAAGTAGTAAATATCCACCCACCCACCTGTTCACCCGCCCATCAGCTCATGCATTCACCCTTCTATCCACCATGCATCCCCTACCATCCGTCTACCCACCCACCTTTTCATCTCTTCATCCATGTACCTACTCACTGCCCACCCATTTACCCATCTACCCAGTCATTCCACATTTCCTGAATTCCTGCCATGAGCTAGGGATATGGAAAATCCAGGCCCTTGCCTTGGAGGCACTCACACAAGCACTGGGACCAAGCACAGGGCCCCTCTCCTCCTGCTTGTTCCTGTGGCAGCCCTCACTAAATCATTGTGCAGGCCTTCCAGAAAGCACGTTTCAAAGCATTCATTTTTAAATTCCCAAAAGACTGAGTTTAATGGCCACCTAGATAAGCAAAGATCTGATCATCAAGATTGTTCTCTATGGAGGTATTAGAGCAATAGGATTTAAAGCGTAAGCATGCTATAGCTGGTAAGTTATACCATAAGGGATGCTATGTTAGATGGTTTCACAATGATGCACTTTCTGTTACCCGTTACCTCTAGATTGCTGATTCAGAAGCAGAATGTGAGGATAAAGAAGGAAATTTGTTTCCATCAGAAGGCTCTTGTCCAGTGAGTTGGAGGTCTCAGTTTAGTTCATGTTTCTTAGCTGCCTGAGCCAAGCTAGGAATCCCACCTCTCAGAGCTCACTGACTTTTTTCCTGAGCTGTCACTGGAGACCCCTGGTGGTAAATAGTGGGGTGGGTGTCCCAGCACAGCACCACACCTGGGGAGTCCCGTGCCACTTCCTTCCCTGAGACAGGCTTAGAGATACGCTACTGCGCGCTGCTTTACCTCGGTAGCAGAGGAACTACATAGTGGCATGAGAATTAACAGGGACTTTTAGTAGCTCCCCTGATAACCCTTCATAACATCTGGAATTACTTGACAAAAGTCAGTGGTTACAGAAACCTGAGTAGACTTCTGCCCCTTTATGTCCTATAATAATATGTGTTGAACGCAAGGGAATGAACCAGACTAGTATCAGATCAGAACAAAACACCACCACCCCGTCTCTCTGTCTTTCTCTCTCAGAAAACCCTCCAAGATTAAACTTACTTCTCTTTGCACTGACAGTTACAGGTTTATATTGAGGTGAAGAGACTGTTTTATCAGTTTGTAGCTTTTTCAGAATTCTTAAAAGAAACTGCATGAAACTGGTATTCCTTTGCTGTGCACTAACATGGAATTTGTTTTGTTGCATGCCCTGGTGTGCGGTGGAATTCACAACAGAGAGTAAGTGTCAACCACTCCCATCCTCCACCCCCACCCCCACCCCCACCCCTGTGTTCTGATGTGCACTATCTCTGGCTATGAGAGCAGCCAGCATTGTTAACCCAAGTGACAAGACTGGGCTAGGCCAGCTCGGGCGGGCACTTGCCATGTTCTCGGGCTATGGAGGGACCCTGAATGCAGGCTGTGATGGGCTTGGTTTCTCTTTGTGCAGGTTTTCAGTATGTTTCTGGAGACCCTTGTGGATTTTATAATCATTCATAAGGATGACTTGCAAGACTGGCTTTTCGTCCTTCTCACACAATTACTGAAGAAAATGGGAGCAGACTTACTTGGATCTGTGCAAGCGAAAGTTCAGAAGGCACTGGATGTCACCAGGTGGGCACTCAGGGTCTTGGCTGTGGTGCTGGAGGAGTCCTTGCTCATCTCCCGTGCTCTGGGCTGACATGTCTCACCAGTCTAGGAGGGAGAGGACCGTGTCATCTCTGAGTAGGCAATACTTTATGAATGCCTGCAGAATATAGGCAGCTTTTCTAAAATATTTAGAGAGATTATTTAGGATATTCGTTTATACGTTTCTGAAGTTCTTTATTTTTAATACTTTGTTTATTAATAATTTGCCTCAGGAATTTAATATCAATATGTAATGTAGAAATCTTGTTGGACCATAACTGCCTCTAAATTGGCAGTTCTGGAGCTAGAAAGGTGGCTCAGTTGGTGCCAAAGTCTTGTATGAGCATTAGGTTCCAGAACCCTGTTTGCACCTGTAATCTAAAATCCTGGCATGGGAGTAGGGGGTGGGGGCATGGAAAGGAGGGTGCTCCAGATTCAGTGAGAGATCCTGTCTCAAAAAAAAAAAAAGATGAGATCTCTCAACAGAAGAAGTTCAAATGGCCAAAAGACACCTAAGGTCATGCTCAACTTCCTTAGCGATCAGGGAAATGCAAATCAAGACAACTTTAAGATACCATCTTACACCTGTCAGAATGGCGAAAATCAAAAACACCAATGATAGCCTTTGCTGGAGAGGTTGTGAAGAAAGGGGTACACTCATCCATTGCTGGTGGGAATGCAAACTTGTGCAACTACTCTGGAAAGCAGTGTGGAGGTTTCTCAGGAAATTTGGGATCAACCTACCCATGTACCCAGCAATACCACTCCTGGGAATATACCCAAGAGAGGCCTTATCACACAACAAAAGTATATGCTCTACTATGTTTATAGCAGCATTGTTTGTAATAGCCAGAACCTGGAAACAACCTAGATGCCCTTCAATTGAAGAATGGATGAAGAAAGTATGAAATATATACATATTAGTGTACTACTCAGCAGTAAAAAACAAGGACTTCTTGAAGTTTGCAGGCAAATGGATGGAAATAGAAAACACCATCCTGAGTGAGGTAAGCCAGACCCAAAAAGAGGAACATGGGATGTTCTCACTCATATTTGGTTTCTAGCCATAAATAAAGGACATTGAACCTATAATTCGGGTTCTTAGAGAAGCTAAATAAGAAGGCGAACCCAAAGAAAATCATATAGGCTTCCTCCTGAATATTAACCTTCATCAGGCGATGAAAGGAGACAGAGACAGAGACCCACATTGGAGCACCGGACTGAAATCTCAAGGTCCAAATCAGGAGCAGAAGGAGAGAGAGCACAAGCAAGGAACTCAGGACCTCGAGGGGTGCACCCATACACTGAGACAATGGGGATGTTCTATTAGGAACTCACCAAGGCCAGCTGGCCTGGGTCTGAAAAAGCCTGAGTCAAAACTGGTCTCGCTGAACATAGCGGACAAGGAGGACTACTGAGACCTCAAGAACAATGGCAACGGGTTTTTGATTCTACTGGACCTATTGGTTTCGTGGGAGCCTAGGCAGTTTCGTGGATGCTCACCTTACTAGACCTGGATGGAGGTGGGTGGTCCTTGGACTTCTCACCGGGCAGAGAACCCTGATTGCTTTTTGGGCTGACGAGGGAGGGGGGTTTGATTGGGGGAGGGGGAGGGAAAGGGGAGGCGGCGGTGGGGAAGAGACAGAAATCTTTAATAAATAAATAAATTAATAAAAAAAAAAGATGAGGAGTGGCTGAGGGCAGCACCTGATGTTGACTTTTGGCCTCCACATGCACTGTGTGTGTGTCCCCAGAAATAAACTAGTAACAGTAAGAAATAAATAATGCACACACCCACACTTCTCAGTTTAGAGTTTGAAAACGTAGCCCTTCTGGCTGTTACAGAGGCTCAGGAACGTTATGGGCTGTGCTGCTCTTCAGAAGCCTGGTGTCCGCTGTGCAGTTGAGGGCCTTGGCATGCCTGGGCTAGAAGTGGATGATCTCAGAAGATAACGGCAGTGAGCTGACTGATTTGCTATAGACAAAAGGAAGACTCACAGATCTTTGAAAAGAACAAGCAAGTGACTCCCAGGCACTTGACATTATTGTCAGGGCAGTAACTTTCATAGAACCCAAATCTCACATAGGATAGACCCTAGGTATCATGGGATTTTCACAGCAAAGGAGCTCAGCGGTGAAAGGGGATTTTCTCAATGAGAAACAGAAGCTACCCTGACTTGCCTAAGGTCACAGTTAGTATTGGTGCTAGGATTTCTGCCTTTGCTTTTTTTTTTTTTTTTTTTTGTCTGCCACTATGATTCAGACTGCCCTGTAGGGTTGTGTCCTGCCCTCCTGCACCGTTTTGCTCAGTTGGTATATGCCACTCCAGCAACACATCCGTGCTTGCAGCTGCTGTATGGCATTTGTGACTCTGCACTCTGCTACCAAGGGGTGTCTCAGCCTGCTGACTTGTGTAATTTGCACAGATTTTGCACACATTTTCTTTTGAGTAGCATACACTGTGATAAGGCTTCCAAGGTCCTCTTCCACTGCATGGTTCATTTTAGCAAGATTGGAGACCAGTGCTGTGCACCGGTGCCTTGGGTATGCAGACAGCTGTGCAGGTAGGAAGGAGGGTCCCTGGCAGCCTGACAGCTGCCTCCACTTGTGGTCTTTCTAAAATGTGGATCTAGTGTTCCTAGACTTTATAAAAAATCAAAAACATAGATTTTGGTAATATATTTAAAGATGTTTTATGACACTGTAAAGACCAAATAAAGCACGAGTTAGTCCAGGGTGTCACAGCTTGAGTCAGTTTATGAGTAAAATAGTCGTTACAATTTTTTGAAAGGTGGGACTATTAAGATTACAGTTCTAAATTTTGGTGATACAATTAGTGAATTTTTTTCTCTCTCCTCTCTACCTCTGTCCACTTCACTCATTCACACACACACAATGAGAGGAAAATAGAATTGTGAGCTCTTATTAGTTATTTTTCCTTGACACCCTTTCTTGTAAGAGTCCCAATTTTAGGCTGAGGAGATGGCTCAGCACTTTCCCCACAAGCATGAGGACCGAAGAGATTGCCAGAATCCATGTACAACCCAAGCCAGCATGGTGGTCGCCTGTAATCCCAGAACTTGGGGAGCAGAGGTGGGAGATCTCCAGGGCAACCTTAGCTAGACTGGCCAGAATTGGTGAGCTCTCTGTTCAAGATCCAGTCTCCGTAAACTGAGTAATCAAGGCAGATACTCAGCGTCTTCACAGGCACACACATGCACAAGCAAAAGCAGAAAACTTGAGTAAATTTGTGCATGTTTAAGACATGCGTTCCACCCCCAACTCACTCAACTGCGGTGCAGAGCTGTTGTAGGAAAGGTCAGATAGGTGCAGAAGCTGCTGGAAAGATGGCCTAGCTGCAGATCCTGGAGGACACTGAATCTTTTCAGTGATTCTTCACCAGGAGCAACTTGCTCCACTTTTCTAATCTTCCCTGGCTCCCTTGACTCTAGCTGTGCCTGAAACAGGCTCATTTCCTGCCTAAACTTACCCACCTGTCTCCATCTGCTGGCGGCAGAAGCAGGGAAGACTCATCTGTGGCTTGTTGACTACTTAAACAGCGCCACTAAAGTGCACTTTGTCCCAGAAGTAGCCCCCTGTAGCTTCCAGCCTTTAAATAGGTGAGCAAATAAGGTTGCTCTAGGGGCGGTTTTATCACTTTCCAGGGCAGGGGGACCCCAAGACTTTGCACATGTTAAGCAGGTGCTCTTCCACTTAGTTTAAGTTTACTCTTAATTAGTCATTACTATTAATAGTAATGACTGGTTTGTAGTGTGCCCTCCTTTATAAAACTTTATAGGTTTCTTGTATTGGTTCTTCAGTTTCCACTTCAGTCTAGGAATACTTGATAACATTTCTTCCTGCAATGGAGATTCAAGCCTGCATTCTCAGCCTCTTTCCCACACCTCTGTAGGAAGTCTCTTAGGAGAGTCCAAAGAAAACAGTCTTATCACCCAGCCCCAGGGACTCAGGGGCCTCATCTTCCCTGTGTTGAGGATGACGTCATGTCACATCCTAGTGGCTCCGTCAGGCAATTTTAAACCAGCAGTAGTGATTGCCACAGCTAAGGATGAAAGGATTGATGTTCCCTAGCCAGAAGCCCCCAGGGTCTCTTGATTGGATCAGACAGTGCAGTGACTGTTGGGTGTGGGCTTACCACAAGCATGAGGCAAGAGGAGGGGCTTCTTGAACCAGAGGCGTCTGTAGAGCCAGAGCTGTGTAGAGAACTTCCCAGCACTGAGCTTTACATGGACATTCTTCTGTGGTGACTGCAGGAAGATTGCCTGCATGTACAGGACTAGAAAGACATCTGCTTGGCCTCTTCAGAGTGGGGGCAAGCAACCTAGAGCAGAAGGAAAGTGGGATCTGGGGCCTGCAGTCTTCCAGGAAGCAGTGTTCAGAAAGCAGGGAGGAGCAGGAGGCTGCCTGCTTCCCTGCATTCTCTGCCTAGTCTTCAGTTTTAAAGTAGCTACTCAAAGTGACCTATATTCCTTTCCGTGAATTTTCTATATGTAAATATAGTTTAGTACTTATATAAAATGAAAAGCACCATCCATAAAAATGTGAATGTACTTTTGTGAGTGTGTGTGTGTGTGTGTGTGTGTATCAGGATATATTGTATAGTTTTATATTCTTTTATGTAATCAATTTCTTTAAAAATAAGAGCTGGTTTTTAGTTTTGATTTTTTTTTCTATTTTTTTTGTCCTAGGGATTCTTTTCCATTTGATCAACAATTCAACATTTTAATGAGATTTATTGTGGATCAGACTCAAACTCCAAACCTCAAGGTCAGTGGATGATTATCTTGCTTTTCTTGTTCCCTTTTCCCTGTGTGCCTTGTGATGTGTCAGATTCTGCATAACTGGGAGCATCTCTGTTCAGCTCTCTGTTGACATGCTCTCGTTTCTCTTGGTCCCAAATGACTAGTTCCTTGCGTAGGCAGATGCCTAACTCTTGTGCCATATTCTGTTCTTGCCAACAGTGTCGTCACCAACAATTGTGCATCAGCCTTTACACAGTTGATGCTGTGACTAGGGGATCAGTGCCTTGTTAGAATACCTTCAATAGAATGTTCTTAACATTCATAACCCTTGGTCTCTCAGGTCAAAGTCGCAATCCTGAAATACATCGAGTCTCTGGCCAGGCAGATGGATCCCACAGATTTTGTAAACTCCAGCGAAACAAGGCTTGCTGTTTCTAGAATCATAACATGGACTACAGAACCAAAGAGTTCAGACGTGAGAAAGGTATGTTCACAGAGCTGCAGCAAGACTGCAGACTCTTCTGCCCCATACACCTGCGTCACCAAAGCTGTGCTGTTTCTGCTTCTCTGTCCTCTGCCCATCCTGGTCTGATGGATCAACCGTGGCGGTAACAAAGCACTGATGGTTCTGTGTCTGCTGGTAGGTGCTCTGATGAGGGACCGTGATCTGGGCTCACTGGCTTTAAAGGAGCCTGGGAGGGAATGTAACTGAAACATTTAAAAGACACAGCAGACTCCTGACCTAGAGCATACCCTCTTTGATTTGGAAGTAGAATGGGATTCAGGTAGAATTCAGATTATGTGTGTGTACATGCTTGTTATAATGAGGCCAATAGTTTGTTTCCGGGACACCCAGCTGCTAAGCCCCAAAATAATCACACAGAAACCATATTATTTAAATCACTGCTTGGCCCATTAGCTCTAGATTATTGTTGGCTAACTTTTATATCTTAATTTAACCCATTTTCATTAATCTGTGTATCGCCACGTGGCTGTGGCTCCCTGGCTAAAATTCTGGTGTCTCACTGTCCCTGACTTCTGGCTCACGGGCCCCAGCTTTGAGGAAGCTTCACTGTCTCTGAGCCAGCAAAGAGCCCTGAGTGACCCCTCCCACTTTCTAATATGCCCTGTCCTCTTCTACTCGCCAGTCCCAGCGTCAGCGTCAGCGTAGTCGAGCAGGGGAGGATGCCCCTACTAGGTCAGTTCCTACCTGCTCTGGGCCTGGAGAAGGAAACTGGGAAGAAGGTTGTAAACAGGTAGATGGAGCCCATGTACTAATTCCAAGCTCACCCTCCTGTCTGCCTTTACATTGTCCATACCAGTCACTCTTGTGAGGCCACTGAAAATAATGGAATGATGTGTGTGCCTGTGTCTAACCATCTTCCCAGTGAAATGGTTTCCGAGTGTAGCTCACTGCCGTATTTAATAGAATAGCAAGGGAAAAGAAAGACAAAATCATAAATATCCAGGTCTTAGAGATATTCATCTGAGCTAGGACCCAGTTAGATTGTTCCCTGGATTATGGTGTTTGCTGCCATGCAGAGGAGGTGAGACAAGAAGCTTCCCTAGACAGCCAACCTAACCTGCTTGGTAAACTCCAGTTCACTGAGTGACCCTGTCCAAAAAGCAAGGTAGACAGCACCTGCAAAACCTGGTGGTAGTCCTCTGGCCTTCACATGGCACACAACACACGCACGCACACACACGTACACACATGTACATACACGCACACACACAAAAATTGAAGATTTCACAATACTTTGTCTTGAGTTGTTTTGTAAAAGCATGTTTACTGTTCTCAGTAAATGAGAAAACTCTGTGTCCTTCTCTCCCCATCTGAAGTTTTACAACCGAGCATCAACACTGAACATTTGCCAAGGTTTAATTTGTGTCTGCCAGCTTGGCAGAATTCCTTCCTCTGTGAGGTGTACAGCTATAACAGCCTTATGATAAAACTTAGATTTGAAATCTTTTTAAAAGCATATACTTAAGTTATATTTTTAATTTCTGCCGTTTTGATCTGGTTGTAAGAAGACTGTACTTTGTAAGCCTCTTTAAGCCAAAGTTTGACTTTTGAGCCCCGGAGATGTGGCTTGGTAGCTGAGAGCACTCGCCGCTCTTGCAGAGGACCAGAGTTCAGTTTCCAAGTACAGCATCAGGTGGTTTACAATACCTGTAACTCCAGCTCCAGGAGACACAGCATCCCACACCATACCAGTGCCTTCTTCTGATTTCTACAGACATATGCACACTTGTGTACATGTGTATACACACAGATAAATAATAAAAATAAATTTGTTCTTAAAAGTAAAAGGGGCTGGAGAAATGACTCAGCAGTTAAGAGCACTTACTCTTCTTGCAGAGGACCCCACTTTAGATCCCAGCACCTACATTAGGTGGATCACAACTACTTGTAATTCTAGGAATACAATAATAGTAATCTAACACCCTATTCTGGCCTCTGTAAGTACACGCACATACATTTGCACACTCACCAACTAAATCTGTACATGTACATATAGTTTTAATTTATATGATATATATTAAATTTAGCATTGGGATTATTTGGAAAAAGAGGCTAATGGGTTAGAACTTAAATTATTGTGTACTTTCTTTCCTCAGATAAATATATTCATGTTACAAAGCCAAGGATTTGCACATTGTCTAGGGCTGCAGGCCTGTTGTTCTTAAAAGATGCTGCTTTTTAATCGGCATCATGAAGAACTCATTCATTGGTGGTGTTATGTGACATCATCCCAGGAGGAAATACGGTCTCCTAAAGAAAGTGGCGCATTTCACAAGAAGATAGACAGTTCAGGGATAGTAGGGCTGGGGCTGTAGCGCAGCCAGTAAGTCTCAGAGTGCTTGCTTAGCATGCACAAGGCCTGTGCCTTGTGTGGTTCCATCCACAGCTCCTCAACGTCTGGGCATGGTAGTGCACAGCTGTTCCCTTGCTATCCTGGCACTTGGGAGACGGGGGCAGGGAAAGGAGAAGTTCACAGTCGTTGTTGAGTGCATGTGGCAGGTTCAGAGCAGACTTGAGGCCAACTCCAGAACCAAGAGTGGGATGCAGCAGTAGATCCGTGCAGTTCCCGCACGTGAAACCCGCATCTCTGCCTGCTTGCTGCCGTGCCACGCTGTATTTGCTTGCTGAAATCCCTGTCTCCTGCCTGCTTTGCTCCTTTTTCTGCATGTGTGTTTTTCCCTAATACCTCATTGAAGGTTTTCAACAGTACAAGTTAATTTGCACACTATTTGAAGTTGGTTTTGTTATACGAATCGCCTTAACAGTGCCTTCATTTGTTGGGAAACAGATAATTTTGGATGATGCTTAAATCCAGGAAAGTATGTTTTACTGTAGGGCAATCAGTAATGATGTTTCTCATTCGTGGCTACAGTAAGTACAATGGCCACTGTGGTCTGGATAGAAAGGCTGACTGATTTCAAGATCAGGAGAGGAAATGCTGCCCGGTATATTTCTAAATGAATGGTTCTAGAAAGTTGGAAAATATTTTTTTTGTCCCACAAAGAATATCATTCTACTTAGTTTTTATTTGAAAAATAAAAATATAGTCTCTGAAAAACTGTCATATAGTTAGTTAGAATAAAATAGAAATCATTTCTCAAAAGCTTAAACAAACTTGTATCTTTAGAAACAGTTTTGCATAATATCTTTTCCTTTCTCTTGACTCTTAGAAATTAATAAGAAATGACCATTGGCATTTACCAGAAGTATCATTCCACTTAGTTGTGGGTTTTTGTTTGGTTGTTGTACTTTAATACAAAGTCTCTTACTTTACCCTTGACTGGCCCGGAACTCACTATGGTAGACCAGGCTGCCCCGAACTCAGAGATCTGCCTCTGCCTGGAGTCTTGGGATTAAAGGTGTGGCCACCAGGTCCGCGTTAGCAGTTATAAGTCAGCATCCTTATTGGTTCCTGAGTCTTTAGGTTTTAAGTTCAATTGCACATGGCTCACTTCCGTAGGAGCACTTTGCTTCTGGGGAAGCCCCTGTCTCTTGTTCTAGCTCATTGCTTTCCCATGTGCCACCATCATTGTAAATGTCCCTGCATTGTTACCTCAGTTAATAAAACCCTTCCCCAAAGGTAATAGCGGCTGCTTTTGTCTACCATCAGTATCCCATTGGTTTCCCCAAAGTCTCTTTATTTGGGGGGTTGGGTTTTTTTGTTTTGTTTTGTTTTGTTGGGGTTTTTGTTGGTTTGTTTGTTTGTTTTTTTTTTCAGACAAGGTTTTTCTCTATGCAGCATTGGAGCCTATTTTGGAACTCACTCGTAGACCAGGCTGGCCTTGAACTCAGAGATCCCCCTGCCTCTGCCTTCTGAGAGCTGGGATTAAAGGCGTGTGCCACACTGTATTCATGTGTATTTCATGTGTATTTAAAATGTGTAGTTTCTTAGTCAGGTACAGTGGGTGAAGTGTCCCAAGATAAACCCAGCAGTGGTTTACCTGGAAGCTCCCTCTTTCCAGGGTGCACTGCGGGGCATTGCTAAGCTGTCCAGCTCTCCCTATAGTAAGAGCAATCTTAAGTATTTAGTGTGTTTTTATTGTTCTTTTTGCTGGCTTCCTTCCTAGTACTAGACAACCAAAGAAATGTGTTGGGCCAGGGCATTAAAACAGAAGCAGGGAATGTTCCAGATTAAAACTGGGCTCTCTGTGCTGCCATTTTCTCCAGATTTCAGTTAAACAGAAGTTCTTGAGAAAGAACGTCAGGGAACTCTCTGTTGAGACGTGGTGACAGACGTTTCTGAGCTGTGCTTCTCTTTCCAGGCAGCACAGATTGTGCTCATCTCTCTGTTTGAATTGAACACTCCTGAATTTACCATGTTACTTGGTGCCTTGCCAAAAACATTCCAGGATGGTGCCACCAAACTCCTGCATAACCACCTCAAGAACTCCAGTAACACCGGTGTGGTAAGTGCCCTGGTTGTGGTTTGGTCATGACCTGCCAAGTGACCCTCACAGCTGCAAAGCTGATGGACAACAGCTTTGGTTAATAGCCTGTGAGCCTATGAAGGCTGGGGTCCTTTCTGATGCTGGCATACGCCCTGGAGGGGAATGGACTTGGTGCTCATCTGTGGCCTTTTTTTTAGGGTGAGGTCGTTGAGTCAGTGCATTGTTTACAAGTTGTCTTCCTATTTCGTTCGTTCATTGGATCTGTCTCAGATATTTTAACTCTGTAATAAGAGAAATGCTTAATTCTGTATATGACTCTAGCCCAGCTCTATTAGCCCCTTTTTTGTTGCTCTGACGAGAGGAACTGAAGGAAGGGAGGATTTGTTTTGGCTCACATTTCCAGGGTGGTGCAGTCATCGTAACAAGGATGGCAAAAGCGGCAGGCCTGAGGGGCAGCTGGTCACGCTGTGTCTGTAGTTGAGGAGCAGAAAGTGGTGACTGCTGCTGATGCTCAGCTCACTGTCCTGCTTTTGTCCAGCCTGGCAACCCAACCTGTGGGATGATACTGCCGGCACTCGGGGTGGATCTTTTCTCCTCAGTTAATCCAGTCTTGAAAGTTTCTCACATGTCTAGTGATTTGTCTTCTATGTGGTTCTGGATCTGGTCACTTTGGCAGTCAGTGTTGGCTGCCGTAAGCTGACAGTTGTCAGTAAGCTCCAAGGATTCCTACAGAACAATTATCCATCCATGCAACTAATGATCTGTGGAGGTGAGGGTGGGGGTCCTACCCGTTTACATACGGCTTAAGAGACAACAAGTGGAGTTGGATTTGAATTTTTAAGAAAGCCTTCGGACAATGATGCCTACACTCCTTTGCTCTAGGGATCCCCAAGCAATACAATTGGCCGGACGCCTTCCCGACACCCCAGCAGCAGGACCAGCCCCCTGACCTCACCCACCAACTGTTCCCATGGGGGACTGTCTCCAAGGTAAGGTCATTCCACAAGTGAAGAATGAAGATGCCCTGCTTTCTGTGCAGCCTGGCTCAGACTTAAGCTTGAGAGCAAAGTGCCAGGAGTCAGGGGGAAGTTCCGCTCTTCCCTCTGCCTGTGACTCTGTGGTCTTCGGCAGTGGACAGCTGTGTTCCGTGTTCTCTGAACACTGAACCTGGTACCTCATAGATTGTAAGACTGAGGTCGTATGAGTTCCCGAGGAAACCTGTCAGCTGTCCTCCAAGAGACAGAAAACCCTAATGGTATTTATGGAGTTATTGATAAACTTTTTAGAGTCTGCACCAAGCCTGGTGTAGTTTTCCAGTCAGGAAGCCGCTCCTCTTTAAAGCAGATGCTGCTCTGATAGACAGTACCTGGGGACCTGAGCATCACAAGGTCCAGCATGTGCAGATTCCTGTTAATCCTTACAGAGTCAGGGGCCTAATCTCTTACTTATTTGTTTCTATTTTTGTTTTTGAGACAGGGTCTACTAGGTGGTCCTGGTTGGCCGGGAACTTTCCATATATATCTTTTCTCAGCCTCCAGGTTGCTGAGATTACAGTCATCCACCACCATGCCCAACAGTGGGGTATGACTTCAAAGGAGAGCATGTTCTATCTCAGGCTTTGTTAGACTCCCTCACGTGGGTTGGCATTACCTGGCCCCAGAGTGGTGCCTCTATGAGGCCCCAAATTTTCTAGCCCAGCAAGGGCCACAGTTGCTGAGTTTTGCCTGTGAGAAGTCAAGATCTTTAGGCTCTGAGAATCTCGAAGACTTTTCCTGAAGGTGCTGTCACAAGGTCTTAAAACGCAATGCGAGCCGGGCGATGGTGGCGCACGCCTGTAATCCCAGCACTCGGGAGGCAGAGGCAGGCGGATCTCTGTGAGTTCGAGACCAGCCTGGTCTACAAGAGCTAGTTCCAGGACAGGCTCCAAAACCACAGAGAAACCCTGTCTCGAAAAACCAAAAAAAAAAAAAAAAAAAAAAAAAAACGCAATGCGAGTGTGCCAGATGGGCCCCTCCTTCCTGGTAAAGGTCTCCATCTGCTGGAAAGATGGCCAAGTTTATTTTTGTTTGCAACTTTTGTCTTGGTTTTCATTTTGAGACAGTGTCTCAGCCAGGTTGTCTACTTGCAGAAGATAGCCTTGAACTCGTGATCCTGTGCCTTTACTTCCCCTGATGCTGGGGTTACAGGCATGTGAGACCAAGCCTGGCACATTAGTGCTTTTAAATGTAACTTTTTATGAATTCCTTTCTCAGCACTAGAGTTCTCTTCAGGCCCCAGTTGTACAGCAGTATTATGGAACAAAAGAAGTCTTTTCTCTTGGGGAGAGTGGTTTTTGTTTGTTTGTTTTTTGAAAGCATGTGTGAGTTGTTTCAGCACCTTGCTGGTTTTGGACTGCTTTGTATGTACTCCCTGACCTGTAGTATCTAGTCTGATGTCACATCTCCAGATTCAATCTGTGTTGTCAGGTTCTCAGTGTGTTGTTAGACAGTTGTGACAGAAGCTGATGCTAGGATGTCTGCCCCTCTTAGTGTGATTGAATACTAAGATCTCTGAAATCTATGTTTTGTCCTGAGTGACCAGGTTTCGATCCAGACAGTGTTCTCTCCAAGTGTTTGTTTATCTAGACACGATGCTCTGCACTGTAGTTAGGAAACCTGCTCTTCCACAGTGCGCAGTTCATATGTATCTTTTAGCTATTGTATATTAGCTAATAAGAAAGAGTGCGCCTCAAACTAATATTTTATTACTTTATTAAATGCCTAAGTTTAAAAAATGGGTGGGAAAAATTAAAAAAAAAAACGGGTGGGTGGGTGTCCTAGTAGTATCTGTCAAAGAGCTGGCTAGAAATTAATCTTCGCAGATCTATTAATTCATAACCATAGCTCTTTTTTTAACTCCTAGGTAAAAGAAGTGAAGAGATTTTTTTTTTTCAGTACCAAAAGGTCTGGCTGTGGCCGACACATTTTCCTGTGGCCAAATCTTCTTTAGGGAATACTTAGTTAATGTAGTTTCTTTCTTTCAAAAAAAAAAGTGTGGAAAAATTAAAACCCAGGATTGGGTTCTAAAAGTCTTGATCCAGTCAACAAAAACTGCCCCTGTTTAGTGCTCAGCTAGTTGACCAGCCTGAGCCCACGAGGAGAGAGGGTTTGTCCCCTGGTGAAAACTGCCCTGCCTGGGAAGTGTGTCTTCTGCTGGGGAAATTATAAAAGAAATGCAGTGTTCACCTAAGCGGCTGAGGTCCACAGCTTGCACCCCCCCCCCCCAGCGCAGCCTCCCAGTTGCCAGGTGCTGCCCTTTGAGCATGACCTTGACTATAAAGTGTTAGCTTTTCATTCTGGAGACGGAAAAAGTGAGAGGATCTAGGACTTTTAAAAATTTTTTTGTCTAAAAGTTCATGGCAATAATAAGGGTCGGTTTAGAAGTGGCGACAGCTCTGACATGACGGTAGCTTTAGATCTGTCCAGTGAGGAGGCTCTTTCCATCAACCCAGTGGGGTCAGAGATGCCAGCAGACTAACACCTTGTGAGAGTGGGATGGCTGACAGCTATATTTGAACATAGATTTATGACCTATGTTTTTTTCCATCGTTTAACACTTATATTTTAGTTCATTCTACCCATTATGATTTTGTGGTAGAGAATGAACTGCAGTTCCAAGTGTCTGGGGTATTGCTGCAGTCTGGTGGGTGCTCCTGGTGAACTGCATGGTCACCTCTGGTGCCATGGCAAAGTCGCCCTGCAGATGGCGCTTGTGTTTCTCCTATCAGAGTGAAGCAGCACCTATAGAATATTGCAAGGATTCACAAGCCCGGCCCCACCCGGACCCAGCCTGAGTATCACCTCTATTCCTTTACCCCTTCCCCCAGCCCTGAATGTGGCTTGAAAGTCTTTAGACCCTGTACCACGATGCCCTCTCATCTCCAAGATGTTTTTTCCCTACAGAATGGGTTCTGTGACCCTCCTCACGGGCACTAACACCTAGGGACACCTACTGTGAAAGCTGTGTTGGTGGGCACTGAAGGTCAACCTTGTGCTTTTTAAGCATGAGGACTTGAGTTCAGAACCTGTTTTTAAACTTTCCTAAAAAGGCCAGGCACATGGCGCACACATGTACTCCCAGCAATAATGAGATGAGGGTAAACACGAATTCCCAGCACGTGCATGCCAGCTAGCCTACCTAGCCTGCTTGGTGAGGCTCCAGACTAGGGGGAGGTCTTGTCTCATACAAAAAAAAATAGAAGGCACCTAAGTACTGGTGCCCCCTGAGGCTGTGCTCTGACCCCGTACATACACACATGTTCAGACTGCAGCAGCAGCAGCAGCAGCAGCAGCAGCAGCAGCAGCAGGATGCTGCGAACTCTGCCTCGTGTTCTCACTCCATCCTCTGCTCTTGTAGCACAAGTTAGAACTTTCCCTGAGGACCTCCGCAAGCCCAGGCCAGGTAGTGACACTGTGGCAAGCAAGTGGACACCTGTGTTCCCACATGTATTTTAGTTTCCTTTAGATGGTATAGAAGCAGAGGAAGCCATTTCATTCCTTTATTCTATTTTCTCCCCTGGGACTTACTGCTCCCATGTACCACCCTCCAGTGGTCCTCTGCCCTCTGAACTCTCACCAGATCCCCGGCCCAGGAGCACGGTCTGTCTCTGGAGTGCTGAGGCATAGCAGTGTGCTCTTGGAGCATGTCCTCGCTTCTGTCCCACTTGAATTAAGTCTTGAGAGCACCACCTCTGGTCCTTTCTGAAATAACCTCTAGGGTGGTAAACTGAGCATCCTTAGTTTCTCCTCAGTCTTCCAGTTGCATGTCCAGCCCAGGCAGACAGGTGCGCCCTCTCACAGGTATGTACACAGCTAAACTTGGGATCTCAGTCGACTCCTGATGACGTCAGCTTAGCCCATGGTTGGGATGGAAAAGAATGAAGCCAGTCTTACTGAGGAGCAAAGTGTAAAATGAACCTGTTCTTTTCTTCTATGTATGAAGCTCTAAATGTTGCTCCAGCTAATTTGATGGGCTCTATGGAGTGTCTTCCTCTTCCCCTCCCCTTTGCTTCTGTGTTTCTCTCTCTGATTTTCCTCTTCTGATCACTGCAGTCGGTTGTGGGGTTGGAGTGCCGATGGGCTATCGAAGCCCCCACCTCCCTTTTCTCAGCCTAACTCCATTCCCACCGCTCCCTCCCACAAGACTCTCAGGCGCTCTTACTCTCCCAGGTAACATGCTCCTGTTAAATTTGTTCAAAATGTCACAATATTATTGTGTTTCCAAGGTTGCCCTGGGTCTTTTGAAAAGCATCTGAGCTCCTCTGGTGTAATTCCTGCTTCCGTTTAGCCTTGCAGGATTGGAGCCAGGGTGAGCTGTGTGAGCAGAAACAGGCTCGGGAGCCAGACTGCTGCTCTGTCTAAGGACAGTAACTTCTTTAACCACCCAGCCAAACCCATCACCATTTACCCTCATGGGCTGTTTGGCCTGGTGTGGCATTCAGAACTCATCATGATGTCCAGATAGCAATGGAGATTGCAGTTCCCCTCATAGGAGTGCCAGGTACAGAAGAGCTGGCGTCTTAGTGTGCTTTTCACCGCTGTGATAAAGCGCCATGGCCAAAAGCAGTTTGGGTAGGAAAGGTGTTGTTTCCGCTTATAGCTTGTAATCCATCTTCCAGAGAAATCAGGGCAGGAGCTCCAGGCAGGAGCCTGGCTATGGGAACTGCAGCAGAAGTCATAGAGGATGCTGCTTACTGGCTGTTCTCATGGCTTGCTCAGCCTGCTCTCTTATACCCCTGAGGACCCCCTGCCGAGGACATGACACTGGTGGGGGTCATAGTGGGGGGCCTCCTACATTGATCACTGGTCAAGAAAATGCCCTACAGAGCTGCCTACAGGCGTGTGATGGAAGCATTTTCTCAGTTGAGCTTCCTCTTCTCAGATAATTCTAGCTTAAGTCAAGTTGACAAAAACAAACAAAACTACCAGGATAGGTAACTTCATTGTCCCAT